GGTGCTATTTACCCTTTACACTGGAAAACGCGGAAACCCCGACCCCTCTAAACGGTGTCGTTCGGCGTTTGTAACATAACCCACTTAAAGGGTTATCTGAAAACCCTAACCCCTTTAGCCCTCAGCCGATCTCCCTTTCTCCTCACTCATAACAGAGAGCCGAAAAGGCTCTCAACCTTTCTCCTTCTCACCCCTTCTCTCCAGCAAACAAAGAACCAAAGAGGCCCTCCACCTCTCTCCGCCATGGAGAGAAAAAAAAAGAAAGGTCACAAACGCCGTAAATCGGCGGTGAAAACCCTAGAGAACCCTAAACTCCCTGGCCTTCCCTCTCTCATCCTCAACCGAGGATTTAAACCCTAAACTCCCCGGCCACCGTAGATCGGTGGCCATGGGGAGTAACCTCACCTCTCTCTCACCTAAAAACCTAAGCGAATCAAAACCCCAAAACCCACTGCACTCCAACCCTAATCAACCTAGAAGAGGAGAAGGCTTTACCTTCCAATACGGGGCTAGCTGGAATCGGAGAAGGTCACAACGAGATTCACGGTGGTGGTTCGAGAAGGTAAAACTTTTCTTCTTCTCTTTTTTTCTGTTTCGTATCTTCTTTTTTATCCTCTGTTTTTTTTTATCACCGACCGTTCTCCATTTTCTCTTCTTTTCTCTTTTATGTTTGCTTGCCTCCGGATTTCTGGTGAGATGATGATGATATCTAGGAAAAATAGGGGATGGGTCTCACTGACTTGGTGGGATAGAAATCCCGAATATTTAGGGATTTATTGGTATTTAAATTTGGAATTTAGATTTTGTGAGATTTGAACTGTATATGATATATTTTCTTGATTGGTTTTGCTGTAGATGACAATAGTGCAACAGTTGGGGTCAGACCGGAACAGTGATGGTGGCGGCGCTGAGGCAGAGAAGGGTCACACGGCGGCTGGAAGGGGATTAGGGTTTGAAACCCTAATATGTTTTAGGGTTTGAAACCCTAATCTGCTAGGTTGGGTCCGGGTTAATTGGGCTTCTGGTCTCTGGGCCAATTGTAATCAGGCCTTAATTTGGCCTGCAAAAATACATGTAATTAATTAATAATAATAAATAACGATAATAATAATAATAATAAAAAAAAAAAAAAAAAAAACCGGACAAAAACGGGTGTCTACATATGGCATTCACTATTTATATTTTCTGAGTTGATACATTTATATTCGCCATTCGATATCGATAAATGAACAAAATGCAGAGTAGTTACACAAGTATAGCATGTGTTTGCATTAATTTATACAGCTTTCTATTGGTGAGATCATTCACTACTTTACAACTAATCTTTAATAAAAAGGTACATTTGACAGATCAGGAAAATATTGGTAGGTGTTAGGGTTTTAATTCAAAATTCATTTTCTAAAATTAATTGTGTAAATCAACTAGATTGAATGTTAATCCGATTATGTAAATCACAGTGACCTGAACCTAGTTTTTATACGTAGCATTTGAGTGTGAATCTATAAAGCTGTAACGATGCTTAAAACAACAATATTGATTAAAGGTAAAGCCAAAAGGCTCTGTTTTTTTCAAAAGATTATTAACAGTTTTGCCTGAATTATTAGTATTGTAGTCATTCCCTTTGAAGAAACAAAACGGGAATGTCTAAGGAAAGACAACCTAATATAAGATTAAGGAAATCCGTTACCGGAAATGTTAATATTTTTTTAACATTTCCAGTAGAGCATTACCTAAAATATTATTTTTTTCTACCGAAAATATTAATACCGGACGCAACCTAAAATATTAAAAAAATAATATTTTCGATAACGCCTTTCCTTAACCTTAATATTAGAATGTCGTACAGCAGAAGTAAACAGAGTGATCTTGCGATAATCTGCCGAGATCTATGTAGATTGTGTTGAAATACTGAAAAAGATGGCGATCATCAAATGATGATGCCCGATCTTGGTTAAGCAAGTTGATTTATGATCTGCACGATATTGGTTTAGTAGTATGATGATCTGATGATATGTTTTTCCCTTGGATTGATGTTTGATTGCAGGATGGGGAACTAACGAGACTTGATCATCAATATATTGGGTCACAGAAATGCCGAGCAACGGAATATTATCCGAAAAACTTATGCTGAAACCTATGGAGAAGATCTCCTTAAGGCACTGGACAAGGAACTCGCAAGTGACTTTGAAGTAAGTCTGCAAAAGCAGTTGCTTTTTTAAGTTGTAGGCAATATTCTACACATGCTTATCTTATCTAGCTGAAGTTGTGGCTTTCTGAGTTTTTATCTAACAGAGGCTGGTTACGCTTTGGACTCTTGATCCCGTTGAACGTGATGCATACTTGGCTAATGAAGCCACCAAGAGGTGGACTTCGAGCAATCAGGTCCTTATGGAAATAGCCTGCACAAGGTCTGCCAACCAACCGCTTCATGCAAGGCAGGCTTATCATGCTCGTTATAAGAAATCGCTTGAAGAGGATGTTGCTCATCACACATCTGGTGATTTCCGTAAGGTAAATTAGATGGATGTTTGAGTTATGTCAAAACGAAACGAAGCCTTTTATATTATGTTAGTGGGTCAATGAAGTTCTTATTGCTTCTTCTTTGTTGTGAATGGCTCTGCTTATGTACGCATCTTTACTCCTTTCAGCTTCTCCTACCTCTAGTGAGTGCATACAGATATGAGGGGGATGAGGTGAACACGAGTTTGGCAAAAACTGAGGCCAAGTTACTCCATGAGAAAATTTCAGACAAAGCTTACAGTGATGACGATGTCATCAGAGTTTTGGGTACGAGAAGCAAGGCCCAGATCAATGCAATCTTGAATCACTACAAAAAGGAATACGGAAATGATATAATCGAGGTATACAAAGTTTGATTGTGGCTGTTCTTTCAGAGCCCCACATCATATGGTATTTCAAGATATTTTTGCATATGGTATATTGAATCCCCGAGATAGGTTTTTCCTTGGTAATTGACTCACCTATCTACAGGACTTGAAGCTGACACTAAGGGTGTGTTTGATTGGGGGAATGTGAGATTTTCATGGGAATAGAATCTATATTTCTCGTTTAGTTGGCCGGGAATGTCATTCCCAGTAATCTTACATTACCAATAGTGTATTTTTTTAGGGTATATTATCGGGAATGTCATTACCTTCCTTTCCTTAGGTATTGTTAGATTACCGGTGTTTTGGACTAAAATATCCTTAAAAAAATTTCTTTCAAAAATATCCTTAATCTGTCATTGAATAATAAAAATTCTATGAAAAATTTATCTTTAAACTATTTTAAATTTACAAAAAAAATCTATAATTAAAATTTTATATGAAGTTCAGGAGTTAAAATAAAATTTTACCCTTTCATTAAACCTTTTTATATTTTCAATTTTGTAAAAAAAAAATTATATAAATTTTATGAATTTAAATTTTTTAAAGAAAATATATAAATATTTTTCAACTTGTTAAAAAAACAAATAAATAATAAGGACAATTTGGTCAAATATACATTCTAATAATCTTTTATTCCTTTAACCAAACACGGTAATCTTACATTCCTGCTAAATCAACCAAACACAAAATACAACATTCCCAGTAATCATATTCTCTGATAATCTTTTATTCTCATTGGTAATTTTATATTCCGTGAACCAAATGCACCCTAAGGGGGTGTTTGGTTCTGGTAATCTAAGATTAGCGGGGGAATTGAATCTCATTTCCCTGTTTGGTTGGCCAACATTCTCAGCCCCCAGTAATCTTTTATTACCAACAGTGGTATTTTAGGGGTATATTACCGCGAATGTGATTACCCCTTTCGTTAGGTATTGTTGGATTATCGGCGTTTTGGACTAAAATGTCCTTAAAAAAATTTCAAAAATATCCTTATTCTGTCGTTGAATAAAAAAATTCTACAAATGATAAATTACAAATTTATCCTTAAACTATTTTAGATTTACAAAAAAAATCATAATTAGAATTTTATATAAAGTTCAAGGGTTAAAATAAAATTTTACTCTTTTATTAAACTTATTTATCTTTTCAATTTTGTAAAAAAATTATATAAATTTTATGAAATTAAAATTTTTAAAGAAAATATATAAATTAATTATAATAGAATTCAACTGGTTAAAAAAACAAATATATAATAAGGACAATTTAATAAAATATACATTATAACAATCTTTTATTCCTTTAATTAAATACACTAATTTTAATAATCTTATTATCACCGATAATCTCATTTCTACTGATAATCTTATATTCTGTGAACTAACACACCTAAGTATAATTTCCTTGCACTGCTAAGGTCCACAGTGAAGTGCCTGGTCTACCCCCGAATAGTATTTCGAGGAGGTTCTTCATTCAGCAATCAATAAACGAGGAACAGATGGAGTTCTTACAAGAGTTGTTTCGACAAGGGCTGAGTTCGACTTAAAGATCATAGCAGATGAGTACCAGCGAAGGAACAGTGTCCCGCTGACTCGTGCTATTACCAAAGACACTCATGGAGACTATGAAAAAATGCTGCTTGTACTTGCAGGACATGATGAGGCTTAAATCTGATTTCGTAAGATAATTCTGTGTTGAATAAAAGGGTTGATGACCAAACTCTTATGGTTTAGTGGTGGCTATGTAATTTATCTCGTGAAACCTAAAATGACCTTCAGCCATCAGATTTGCAATATTCCTAAGCAGAAAGGCACTCAGTCTGAAACGTGATAAAATATTTTAGACATCCTAAGTTCGGATCGACAAAAGACAACAAGATAACAGAATAATACAAGTTTAAACTACATAATGAACAACTTGAAGCAAGATTTTCCTCTACATCCTTAGGATTCGTGAAGGTAATTCCACTGATCTGAAGCTGTAAAGCCGAACCACCACAACAGCAGGCACCAGAATTTACGTACATTACATGTCTCTACCAACCCAAGGACATGGCTACTTGCAGTGAACAGCTAGCAACTTCATAAGCACAACACGACTGGCAAGGTGACTCCGTCACTTTTTCAGAAGGTTACGCGAGAATATTCTTTTGCAATACGGGCTGGTTCGCAAGATTATGTGAGGTCGGACAGCTCTCACTAGAGAATCATGAAGAGGGCCCTGCTCAAGGTAAAATGCTTTGTGATGAAAATCATGAATCCTCAGACTAAAGCTACTTATACAAGAAAGGAGCCACTCGAGATTTCATTGAAATTTTATCAAATACTATAAAGCATGGAAACTACTTAAGAAATGTCAAGTACTTTTACCTTGGTTACAGCTAAAGCAGATTGAATCACATAGTTGGCAAATGGGTCTTGCAACACTTGTTCAAAGTGCACAGCAGAGATCAACTCACGGATGATTTGTGACCGGCTTTCTGCAAAATGCTTGAGGCATTTTTCGACCACATGACTGCTAAATTTCTGCATTGAGAGGTGAACATAGTGCCCTTTGAACTGAGAAAGTAAGCGGTTGGCAACAGCAGGGGGGGGCTTTAGCTCTATAACATACTGAACAACATAATTCCTGTTTCATAAACAATTATATAATATGACTCAGAGAGGGATAAAAGAATTAAAAATCCATGTAAAATAAAGCTGGTTTCTTTTCGGGGGAGGAGGAAGGAAGGAATTAATTGAGAAAATGAAGTAACTATTTCTAATGTAGCTAACTTTGTTTAAAGGTTTTTTGCCCTTTTAGGTACCTAATATGCACTTCAGATTAAATAAGACGAATAAAAGCACAAAGAACTAATTATTGATAATGCAAGATATGAAAGATATCAGAGCTTAATTCGTCATATTTATTCTTAATACCAAGTGAGTACATCCCATGCTCATTTGACTTGAAAGGAACAGAAATGGCTAATGAATTATGTTCATTTAAAAACATCTATGACTCTCATATACTTGATCCGTAGATCATAGAAAATCCCAATGGATTGTGTCGACATGCATGAACTTTTTACATTAGATAAGGGTTTAAATACTAGTTTGAATATATTACTCATAAGGATTAAAAAAAATTGTATGACTACATAGAGCAACTGATTTTTCGTGATTCATATGTTTCGTTAGCATGACAAAGATATAAATACATAAAATGGAATGGCTTTTCTTTAAGCCTGATCCGAGTTTACTCATTGAGCTTTATTGAAGCAAATTTATAAGAAAAGATCAATGTAAGAAAACTAAGATGAAAGAAACAAACAAGAACACTTAGCTTATTACCCAAAAGGATCTTGAGCAAGAAGAAGTCCATTTCTGGAAATTTGAGTAATTAGGTTATCTCGATGTTGCCCGTTGGAATGAGAAATGCAGCGTTGCAACACACAGCATCCATGACGATGAGTGGCAATATCTACGCAGAAGTGTGCAGCAGCATAAAAAATAATCTGCATTGGTAATTACCAGAAACAAAGAACAAAAAAAGTTTCAGAATCAAACTTGACAAAAAAATACATACATATGAAATGCATAGCACCGAAGTAGAGAAAGATATTTTTACACGGGAAATGAACCAATGCGTACCAACTACAGTTTAAATAAGAAACATACTTCTGGAAGAAGTAAAGGTAGTGTATGAGAAGACACAGAACGTGACAATCATGACTGGACAGAATTTTAGTCTTTCGTTCATTACCCTGCCTATCATGAAAAATTGCAAGCCAAAAGGGACTCTCCAATGGACTAATAACTCCTCAAGAATTGTGTTGGTTTAGTTATTAACTACCTCACACCAGTAAGAGCTGGTTATAGGTCATTCCTTCCATGGAAAGAATGTTCATAGTAATAAATGTTCAGAAAGAAAAGATTCCTTCAAACTGGATCCTTGCATTTGATCAGTTGGTTCTCATGCAGTGGTAATATGCCAATACCTGTAATTAAGACAGTACCAGGAAGAAATGTGTCGGCCTGTTTACGAGGTACACTTACCAAACATGAGTCGAACTGTATAAAGGCGTATCATAACATACACACAAAAGGTACCCTGCACCAACCAAGAGGAGAAACACACAAACAAATATGTATTGCCTCAAACCAGATCATGCAACCAAGCATAGGTAATAGTAGGCCATAGGATAAAGACCTCTAAGATAACCATATAACTTTATTTATAAGACTTGAGCACCCTTGTCAAGATGCAATGAAAACAAGATATATTAATCCACATAATTAACCAGAGATGAACAATTTAGTAGATCGACACAATGAAATGAGACTGTTGTTGATGACAAAAGCTAATGGTAAATGTAACCTAATATATGTAAAAATAGAAGAATGGAATTTGTTAGGATCATTTGTGAGCACAAGTATTGAACCTCAGAAGTTAATCCACATAATTCACCCTCATTACTTCACCTTATTATCTTCGTTGTCAAGGCATTGCAAGCAGCACTGCAAAACATGATTTCCATTGAGATCCTTGATAAGGTCAAGAATTCCAGGTTTAAGAGCAGATATAATCCGAGAAATCTGTTGTCTGGACTTGAGAGTCTCAACCAACTTCTGCACTACACGAGTACTGAAATATAGAAGCACATTAGCTTAGCAACAACTGTTCTGCATGGTAGAGAATGAAGAACTAAATGATAATGAAGCAGTTACCCATATGTGTTCAAGGAAATCCTCACAAGTTGTCCTGCTTCTTTTGTCACCATGAGAACAATCTGCAGTCTTTGTTCTTCAGTACACACATCCAACAACTTTTGCGCAAGGTAGTTGCCAAAGGGATCCATCATAAGTTCAACAATATTATCAATAATTTCATTGAATATTATCTGAACATCTAAATAGCTTCCTTCATCAAAAATCCTTTGTAAGAAACGACTATCAATCTGGTCCTTAGCCATATAATTAATACATCCTCGAAACTCAACCAAGGAATATGGGCTTGGCATTAGTCTTACATTTTCTCCATGATTTCTGTCAATTCTAGGGCTTTTCTCTTTAAGGTTTTGCATTGCAATGCCTTTGGGACATTTTTTCTTATGACACTTGAATGAATCATGGCCCAAGTTGTCAACACCATACTTCAAATCTCTTTCTTGAATGATGATACTATGATCCTCCACATTAGGATCCTTGCTGTGCAAGGATCTAGGAGAGCTCAAAGAATTAATGACTCCTCTACCTCCATTACCATCCATTCCACATTGCTGTGAGCAGAGCTCAAAAGGATTGTCAAGGTAGGGCCTAGCACTAAAGGCATTCTGTAATAGAATTCCCCCATTGTCAAAACTCCTGCACTGTTCCATTCTCTGGTCCAAAATATAGTGTCTCTGGTTATTGTACCAACTCGATTCTGAAACCAAATCATTTGACTGATTGTAACCAATACCATAAGACCCCAGTGAATCACCCTTTTCGTTTCCACCATGCAAACCAAGCAATGTGGACCTCGTGACATCATTACCATCAAAACACTTGAATGAATCATGGCCCGAGTTGTCAACACCATGCTTCAAATCTCTTCCTTGGATGTTGACACTATGATCGTCCAGAAGACGAACCTTACTGTGCAAGAACCTAGGAGAGCTCAAAGAATTAATGACACCTCTACCTCCATTACCATCCGTTCCACAATGCGGTGAGAAGACAAAAGGACTATCAAGGTAGGGTCTAGCACTAAAGGCATTCTGTAATAGGATTCCCCCATTGTCGATACTCCTGCACTGTTCCCTTATCTGGTTATTGTGCCAACTCGATTTCGAAACCAAATCATTAGACAGATTGTAACCAATACCATAAGACCCCAATGAATCACCCTTTTCGTTTCCACCATGCAAACCATGGAATGCGGACCTCATGACATCATTGCCATCAAAACACACAGGAACTTGCTGTGGTGAAGATTGAAACCCTTCATATGAACTATATTTTCCAGCACTATAAGAAGATACATCTTCAAAACTAAGGCCCAAGCCATCTGGGTCGCACTTGGATCTCCTCCTTTCGGCAGAATCATCCCCATCAATTTCTTCATCTCCAATATGCATTTGGCATAGATTCTCACACAAACCAAAACCATCATCGACCCAATTTTTTTCATTTGCATTCTTATTTCTGAAATGAAAAACTGGTAATGATGTAGGATCCAACCAGAGTCTATGATGATGAAAATTGGGTTGTTGTTGTGGTCGGTCTTCAAACGGTAAACTTTTTTCAGGTGAAGGAAACCCATTAGAGAAGGAACTTGAACGAGAAGGGGAAACTCGAGTAACTGGTGAACGGTGTTGACGATTAAGAAATGGAGGAGTTTGAGGGCTCTCACTCGATAAAGTCTCAAGCTCACTATTTCTTTTCATGTCCCTTATCAACATCATCTTCTCCTTCTCACCCACTTTAAACATCTTCCCAGAAACCCAAAAACAAAAAAGAAGAAACAAACAAACAAAACTTCATAGATACAAAGAGCATACGTTTACACGAAAACAGAGAATCAGAATTTAAAAACCCAAATATAAATTTGTGTTCTTAACAAAGTTGATGAAACAAAAAGAATACAAAAAGTTCACATCGAAAAAAGAAAAAAAAAACGTTTCCTTTTCTGTAGACGATTGCTCTTTTGGCTGATTTGGGTTTTTTCTTTCAAGGGAAAATAAAAAAGAGAAAGAAAATAACAATGGGAATCTCGACGGTTACAAAAGGGATGATGGTGTACGGACTGGTAATGGTATAAGCTCACTCAATTGCAGTAGGTGAGCAGGTTCAAAAATTGTGAAAATATATATACACACATAAAGAAAGATGGAGATCTTTTTTTTAAAAAAAATTACTAATATTTTTCGTTGTTGCTTTTAGTCATCGGCATCTATCTCGATATACAAAACAGAATGCTTGATTTTCTCTGATGAATTGACTTAATTTCTTATGTATACGATTCGTTTTAGTTTTTTGTAAGTGAAAACAAAGATTGAAAGCCATTCGATCTGTTGAAAATTGGAAATTTCTATATCGTTTCCGAATTCAAAGGTTTAAAATATAGTGTGTGATTTGGCCTTTCGGGTACATACGATAGAGCTAACCGCACCAGAGTCCGTATTCTTCTGATATAATCTTAACTGTTAAGTTGCTTTGTCAAACAGAAAAGACTGAGGAGTTTCTATTTCTTGGTGGCCAAGAAAATTGAATTCGAAATGGTAAATTTTTATACAATGTTTTTTATATTATTTTAGCATTTTAACTTAATTTTTTTATTTTAAAAATATGTAATTAAAGTATATTTTTATTAAAAATTTAGGTAAAGTAAACAAATAGTCTTCTACTATAGGGTGGTTCTGCGGTGCGGCGCCTAAAAAACGGCTAATATACGGCGTGACCGGTTAAACAAGTGACCGGTTAAAATTTAGACCGGTTATGTTATATTATTTAACCGGAAATATTATAAAGTACAATAACATACTAGGTATCGCTTATATAATGTAATAGGTAACGCTTATATTTACCTATTTTATAAGTAAACCGGTATATTTATACCGATAGCATTGCAAATTTACCTATTACATTATATTATATTGAAAGTGTTCATACTTTTTATAAAAAGGATCGATACTTTAACAGTGTTTCATGTTTTCTACCTACAATATTAATTTAATAATTTCATTTGCACAAAAAATTATTTGATTGTTTTGATATTTTATAAAATAATATTTAGAATTTTTAATTTAATAATAATATATATCGTAACGTAAAAAATAAATCATTAGACGCCTATAATTACTAAATTAATATCTTAAAACTCACTCAAAAGATAACCTTAAATTAATGTTTTCCACAGTGAAAAAAGTATGGACACTTTTATAAAAAGGATAGACACTTTACAATATAACCACTACCTATTACATTATATAAACGATACATATTACATTATATAAGGGCTACCTATTACATCATATGTTTACCTATTATATTGAAAGTGTCCATACTTTTTATAAAAAGGATCGATACTTTTTTTAAAACTTATGTAATTTATGTTTCAATTTTTTTAACAGTGTTTCATGTTTTCCACCTACAATATTAATTTAATAATTTAATTTGCACAAAAAATTATTTGATTGTTTTTATATTTTATAAATAATATTTAGAATTTTTAATTTAATAATAATATATATCGTAACGTAAGAAATAAATCATTAGACGCCTATAATTACTAAATTAATATCTTAAAACTCACTCAAAGGATAACCTTAAGAACACTTGAAGAAGCAAGAGAACAACTATCCAAGCAATCAAAAACGAGAAAATCCCAACATGATAACAACTGAACATATCATATCAATGTTCAAACTCAAGTTGTAGATTTTGATTTCCTTTTGCTTGGCATCATATGAGATTTGGATTTTGATTTCTTTTTGCTTGGCATCATATGAGATTTGGATTTTGATTTCCTTTTGCTTGGCACCATATGAGCTTTGGATTTTGATGAGCATCGGAAGTATTTCAGACTTATGATTTGGGTGGTACTCAACTTATGATTTTAGTTGCTATTTGTTACATTTCTTGTATACCACCCAGATCATACGCCCGAAACGTTTCTGACGCTTTAAAGTTGACCAAAAAATAAAATGGTCGGGATTTCCCTCGCGTTTATACGTTGGAAAAAAACAATGGAAATTAGGAATAATCAATGATAACATGCATATTGGCTTGGGCTAATATTTATAGTGGAGCCGAAATATATATTGAAATTCAAACACAAATTGAAATTTAAATTCAAACTCCAATTACATATGAAATGAATTTGAAATGCAGTGTTAAATTGAACATGAAAATTGCATAATTGATTCATACTGTTCAAGTAACATGCTTTATGAACCATCAAGCTAAAAGACAATATTGATTGAGTTCAAAGCTGAGTTGTGAGTTGATGGAGTTGTCACACTTGTCACATGGTTGGAATAAAGTACTCACATGCGAGATAGATTGTTTTGTTATACATAACCCATCTCAACGAAATTAATCCAAATAATGTACCCATAACAATGTTCAATTAATGTACCCACAACAATGTTTAATTGATTTGTTGTTTAATTTTCAATTTGAATTATTTGATTTAATAATTTCATTTGCACAAAAAATTATTTGATTGTTTTGATATTTTATAAAATAATATTTAGAATTTTTAATTTAATAATAATATATATCGTAACGTCAAAAAAAATCATTATACGCCTATAATTACTAAATTAATATCTTAAAACTCACTCAAAAGATAACCTTAAATTAATGTTTTCCACAGTGAAAAAAGTATGGACACTTTTATAAAAAGGATAGACACTTTACAATATAACCACTACCTATTACATTATATAAACGATACCTATTACATTATATAAGGGCTACCTATTACATCATATGTTTACCTATTATATTGAAAGTGTCCATACTTTTTATAAAAAGGATCGATACTTTTTTTAAAACTTATGTAATTTATGTTTCAATATTTTTAACAGTGTTTCATGTTTTCCACCTACAATATTGATTTAATAATTTCATTTGCACAAAAAATTATTTGATTGTTTTTATATTTTATAAAATATTTAGAATTTTTAATTTAATAATAATATACCGTAACGTAAAAAATAAATCATTAGACGCCTATAATTACTAAATTAATATCTTAAAACTCACTCAAAAGATAACCTTAAATTAATGTTTTCCACAGTGAAAAAAGTATGGACACTTTTATAAAAAGGATAGACACTTTACAATATAACCACTACCTATTACATTATATAAACGATACCTATTACATTATATAAGGGCTACCTATTACATCATATGTTTACCTATTATATTGAAAGTGTCCATACTTTTTATAAAAAGGATCGATACTTTTTTTAAAACTTATGTAATTTATGTTTCAATTTTTTTAACAGTGTTTCATGTTTTCCACCTACAATATTGATTTAATAATTTCATTTGCACAAAAAATTATTTGATTGTTTTTATATTTTATAAAATATTATTTAGAATTTTTAATTTAATAATAATATATACCGTAACGTAAAAATAAATCATTAGACGCCTATAATTACTAAATTAATATCTTAAAACTCACTCAAAAGATAACCTTAAATTAATGTTTTCCACAGTGAAAAAAGTATGGACACTTTTATAAAAGGATAGACACTTTACAATATAACCACTACCTATTACATTATATAAACGATACCTATTACATTATAAGGGCTACCTATTACATCATATGTTTACCTATTATATTGAAAGTGTCCATACTTTTTATAAAAAGGATCGATACTTTTTTTAAAACTTATGTAATTTATGTTTCAATTTTTTTAACAGTGTTTCATGTTTTCCACCTACAATATTGATTTAATAATTTCATTTGCACAAAAAATTATTGATTGTTTTTATATTTTATAAAATATTATTTAGAATTTTTAATTTAATAATAATATATATCGTAACGTAAGAAATAAATCATTAGACGCCTATAATTACTAAATTAATATCTTAAAACTCACTCAAAGGATAACTTTAAATTAATGTTTTCCACAGTGAAAAAAGTATGGACACTTTTATAAAAAGGATAGACACTTTACAATATAACCACTACCTATTACATTATATAAACGATACCTATTACATTATATAAGGGGTACCTATTACATCATATGTTTACCTATTATATTGAAAGTGTCCATACTTTTTATAAAAAGGATCGATACTTTTTTTAAAACTTATGTAATTTATGTTTCAATTTTTTTAACAGTGTACTGCGAATTTAAAATGATAATATACTTGTAGTTATTGTACATACCTAAATATGTACTGCGAATTTAATGTTGTACCCACCCTTTAACTACCACTACCAATGCCACATCCTATTGAAAGCAGCACGACAGAAACATGTTCAAAATGAACCTTCGTTTACATATCCATCAACTCCTGGAGCACTGAACTTGCACAACAAAATTTTTGCCATGGATAATACTGATGTAGACAATGTTAAGCCAACCGAGGAATGCCATGAAGTACATAATGTTGATGAATCTGACAGATTGGTTGGTCAGCTCTTCTGTTCACGTGATCAAGCTTGGCACTTTTACAAGGGATTCGCACGGGAACATGGGTTTAGTGCACGTAAGGGAACAACACGGCTTGACGTGGAAGGGAATGTGAAGACACAAGAATTTTGTTGTTCCAAAGAAGGGTTTCGAGTATCAAAAGTCAATACTGTTGATCGTCAACGTGCTCATACGCCAGTCACAAGAACAGGATGTAAGGCTAGAGTCGTAGTTACAGCAACAAATACAAACGATCAGTGGGTTATAAGTAAGTCTGATCAGAAACATAATCATGCATTGTACACATCTGCTATGACACCATTTATGCGTTCTAATCGAGCTGTAAGTAAGGCTGATATCGATGAGGCAACAACATTGAAAGAGGTCGGTGTTGGCACGTCACAAGTAATGAACTATTTAACGCAGCAGGCAGGGGGCTATCATAATGTTGGATTTACACATAAAGACCTCTACAATGCACTTCAAAGAGGTAAAGCAAAGGAAATCGTCGATGGGGATGTGAATGCGCTTATTGCCTACTTTGATTATAAGAA